TTGACGTAGATCTACGTAATGAATTGTGCGCTGGTCAATGAAATCAAAAGTTGCCGTATGCTCAGCTCTACATAGCAACACAACTTTTTCTTGGTAAACAATCGAGATGACACAGGCTTGTGTATTTGAACGAATCCGTCTTTTTTTTTTTTTACACAGCTCATAATATGCAGGTGCCAGGTGGTCTGCTAATCTTCAATTTTACCTTTTTCTACAACAAAGAAAGAGGGAAACATGGGGGGGGGGCGTATTAATGAGGCGGCAGGCATCGGAGGCAGAAAAGGTGTGGGGGGGAAACTAAAAAATGGCGAAGAATTGGAAGCACTGAACGTTAGATCTAGATCTAGATCTATAGAACAAAGACACTTCCTTCTTTCCGGACCCGAGTCCGAATAACATTTTTTCATATTCGGACTCGAGTCCGAATAACGACGGCCATTCTTCAATCTTCCCATGGTCTCCCTCCTCTCTATAGATCTAGATTTCTAGAATCTAGATCTAGATCTAGATCTAAATCTAGAATCTAGAATCTATCATCACCCTATCATCTAGATCTAGATTCTAGAGATCTAGATCGATCTAGATCTAGATCTAGAAAAAATAAAAAATCTAGATAGATCTAGACTAGAGATCATCTAGATTTCTAGATCTAGATCTAGATCTAGATTCTAGTTGAAGTTGAATCATCAATGATCGCAAATGTTCACTCTTGGTTTGATCACTTCACAGAGAAGACAGAGACAAGAGAGAAGACTTCCTTAAAAATAAAAAAACTTGATCACTTACCTTGCAAATATAATATGTCTCTAATCTAGATCTAGATCTAGATCTAGATTAGATCTAGAATCTAGAGTCTATAATATTTAGATCTAGAATTAGATATATAGATCAAGATACCTAGATCTAGATTTATGACCATAAAACAGGATCTAAACTTGTCATAAATAATTCTTCAGTCTATCCTAAACAAGGAAGTTGTGGTTATGATTCATAGCGAAAGGATCAGCTGTGCAACACTCACTGCTGACTGGTAGAAAGGGCCCAAGGGCTATGATAGAGACTTGCCTAGGCCTAGAGAGTAGAGAGTCAATCTGATCTGAGGGCGGACAGCAGGGTGGCCTCATTCATCGCAAAGTCGCAAACGGGAAGGGACATAACCCTTGTGGCGTGATAGCTCTTCTATGCGGGGTGAGCACCAATCTCCGTCTTCTTCGCTTCGAACTTCGAAGTCAAGTCGAAGGTCGAAAGAAATGAGGACGCAAGGTCATAGAGTAAAAAAGAAAAAAAAACCCCATAGAGTCTAGATCTAGGTCTAAATATCTGAGAGAAATGCGCTTTGATTTTATATATCAACATTATAAATTGAGTATATTCTGGATGGACAACATATCAAGCAATTAATAATCATGAGGGGGGGGGTTCAATCGTCGACAAACCCCATGTCATAATGCTTTTTTCTAATTAATTATGCCACTGCGCTTTGCACAGTCTGCCCCACGGGCATGATATTAATTTCAATGTTTACTTCCCAAATATGTAGTACTAGTAAATTGATAGCCTTGTATCATACTCATCGTCAAAACGCTGTTAAAAGACGTTTATATGCCAAACAAGCAATATTTTTTCAGGAGAATATGAAGCACTTTTTTAATATTAAAATTGCATATTGTGGTAGTGTTTACAATTGTATGCGTGTTGTTATACATTTAAATTTCTAGTGAAAATAGTGTTATCATCACAACGATACATTTAAGTACTTTTTACAGAACCTACCTTTTGAGATTTTTGTTGTTGTTGTTTTTTGTTTTTTTTTGTGCAAAAGATGCTGTGCCACAGCTTGGCTCATTCAAAGATCCTTTAACTCTTTCACTTTATGCACGTCTATACTAACAAGGTTTCACTCCAAGTTCAGGTGCTGCGTTGGGGGGGAATGTGTAATTGTCTGACAGCATATGCCAGCTGAATTGACGCTCTATATCAATAATTTTAATATATCAACAGACTACAATCGAAATTGTCTAAGACGGCCATCAATTGTCGGGGAGAAAAGTTGTTGTCTCAGACAGGTGGACTTCTTATTTACACTTACACGTGTCATTTTAATGCAAAAACAGCAAAGGGGGGGGGGGGTTGGGAAGTGGTGTCGTTTATACAAGTTACTATCTTAATAACAATTTAAATGACCGCTAGAGCAAGTGCGACTATTATAATTAATCAATCAGAGCCTAGAGATTTTATTAAAATAATAAACTTTGCCCAAGGTTTTATGCTGTTTCCTGGGACACAGTCAAAGAAGTCACCACCATATTATAGTCATGTTGCCTTGACCCAATTCCAACACCTATTATAAGTCAACCTTCTTGACAATAAATTGTTATTGATTTTACAACAGCTATTATAATTAATTATTCATTCCTTTCGTTTCAGTAGTGCCCTAGTCGTGCTTTAAGCGTGTATTGGAACACCTCAATCAAAGACATAATCATAATAAAATTATTATTATCCTGAATGAGTATAGGAACTTCAGGTCAGTCTAAAAATACCATACGTCTAAAATCTTAATTAAAACCTAATTGTCATTTCTGGATTTAAAACTTTCACCTTGAAGAAAACGATATAGGCCTAATATCAGACATCAGTTGGCTTCCGGAGAGATTCACAACAGAAACTGCACTTTTAAAAGAACATAATGACATCTTATATATGTGGAAGCTGCCAAAGGTGTCCGTTCTTGCCTTGCTCGCTGTAAATGTAAGTGCTGCGTCTGACTCCATAAATCATTCAGGGTCTACACTTGCTGAGAGAGAGAGAGAGGGGGGGAGAGAGAGAGAGAGAGAGAGAGAGAGAGAGAGAGAGGGGGGGGAAGAGAGAGAGAGAGAGAGAGAGAGAGAGAGAGAGAGAGAGAGAGAGAGAGAGAGAGAGAGACCAGGCTTTCATTCGTGTTAGGCTAAAGCTTTGGTATGTCTGGGACTGTTCTTCAACGGTTTGAGTCCCACCTGTCTGATCGCACAAAGTTTGTTAATGGTGAAATGCCGTCCACTTTCAGCCTACCTTTTGTTGTGCTCCGGGAATCCGTGCTCAGATCAATTTTGTTGACACTATTTTATTATACTTATACTTGACGTATTCTCGAAACATCTTGGTTCAGTAATATGGAGGCGTGATGACCACATGTCGTAGGCGGACAACACTCAATTGTACAAATTTATTTTACCTACAAATTACTATTGTCAAATACCAGCATGGAAAAAATACAATGTTGGCGTAAAGATTTGGATGATATCAATTAGGTTCATGGTAAGACCGATAAGTCATATTCCACAATACCAAACCAGGGATATTGTCATACAATGTTGATCATAATAATAATAATGTATGAGATATTATCTCCACTGAGTAAGAGAACATCTTTTTCACAGAATCTTATGTAGGACTTTATTTTGACAGGAAACTATGCACCATTATGTGAACCATGAAAAGCAATAATTTATTTTGAAACTCGCATTAATTTATTTTGAAACTCGCATAACGGGACAAACGTCAAACTTAACTGAGTGTCAATGCCTTTAAAACCCCCATCTTCTCTATGTACGTTCATGCCTAGACTATGGCGATTCTCTTTATTTTGGAAACGATGAACAGATTACAGATACTCCAGAATTAATTTGAGCGCGTACTTCTATTTTTTTAACTACTTAAGGGCATAAGGTATAACACTCAAGGTTGGGTTGATCAAACGGCACTGGCTCCATGTCAAACACGTATTCTGTAAAAGACAGCTGCCCAATGTGTCAGTCAACAGCATTGCATCACAAAAAAACCCACTAAGAACAAAGAAATAAAGATACAAAAGAAGTTACTTCCTATCTGGAATAAGGTTGCTGTCGAAATAAACAACAATGTGTTTCGCTGTTGATTTTTAAAAACCAAACTTATTATCATTGCAATTGCAATCAATATAATTCTTATGTTCTGATATAAATTCCTAGGCCTATATGTGGTTGAAAGATTCATCTCGGTTGATATGTATTATTGTCAGCTTTATTTATCCCTTGATATTGAATGTTTATGAAAGTGATAAGCCTAGGTGTATAGTATACATTTTGAAATAAAATAGCCTATGTAGATCTATATAGGCCTATGTGTACCGTTCATGTACAGCCAAGGAAAATTTCACATTAAAACTATAAAACATCATCTTATCTTATCTTTGGAAAATGGCTGGCCATCGAATACATACCGCCTCTGCTTTACAGGTCAGCCAAGAACAGACAATTAAAACCTGTCCAGAATAAAACTCCGAGACCTGGAGGGAGAGCTTTTCCACACCACGCCTCCTCCCTGTGGAACGCATTATCAGCACATTACGGAAGTCGACCACATAATCAAAATTCAAATTAGGCATATCGCTATAAAAACGCATTTTGTTTCTGGCTAGCTTTAATGTGTAATAGTAATGACCGACATTCCCAATACACATTATGTTCTTTTTGTATAGATTTTTTTTCATGGTGTTCTGTAACAAGTGGCTCATGTGTGTCCACAGTCCACATGGATGTGTTCGTGGGTTTGTGTGCAAGTATGTGAAGTATTGTGTGGGACTGTCTGTACTCAGGCATGTACTGGGAGAGAGAGAGAGAGAGAGAGAGAGAGAGAGAGAGAGAGAGAGAGAGAGAGAGAGAGAGAGAGAGTGAGAGGGGGAAAAACCAGCCAGACAGACAGACAGACAGACAGACAGACAGACAGACAGACAGACAGACAGACAGACAGACAGACAGAGGGGGGGGGGGGGGTTTGAACCGTATGGTACATGACTGTGTTCTTTGTATTATTGTACTTTCGCAGTGGAAATACGCTATCTAGATCTAGATGCAATTTATGTGCATGACTATTAAATCTAGATCTACCATAGAGTTACCCCCTTTTAAACCTATAGTGTACATCTATGAGATCTACTGATTATACATTATGAGATTTACTTGTAATACCAACTGACACCAGTGACAACGCGCTTCATTGTCATTGTTGGTGTGTATCACGTGATATGAATACGTACGAGGGACCGTATGATACTACAAGTCTTTTACTTCATGTACAAAACGTGTCACTGTTTGTTGGTTGGGGGGGGGGGTGCCTTTTCCTATTGTGATTCAAAATCGTAATAAAGGGTGTGGAAGAGAATGCACTTCCATGAATTTAAGGATAAAGTGGATTGTGCACTGCTTTCTCTTCGATCTAATTTTCTTTTAAATCGTGCTAAATAGATCTAGATCTAGTCGTATTGCTTCGGTGTATAGAAATACTGCCTTGCAGTAAGCTGCCATTTAGCAAGAGTTCCAGGTATCGACATAGTCCTACTAGACTTCTAATCTATTCAACATTCCAACAACGGTGTTTTAGCTGAGTTTCAAGGCAACCTTACGAAACTCTTGGCCTAACTCGGACCTGTCGCAAAAAACATGAGCCACGCCGAAGCCGGACAAAATCCCGAATAAATAGATTTAGCCCACAATTGATTTTACTCCCGAAGATGACAGTTGAATTTGATTTCCTTTTGTTACCTATACAAACGAGTGACTTGAGGTATCTTAAATTGTTTGGGGTCCAGTCCTGCTAGAGACAAAGGAGGATTTGAAGAACCGAACAGTTTTGGTAAAAGTAAAGTTGTTCCCACTTCCGATCCGGACTTTGGGGATTGCCATGTTAGTGAGACAACTTCGTGGGCCTTCGGCATAATATTGTGCTAGGTTGGCCAGTTCCTTTCCACGCCGCATTTACTTCCCCAACTCGAAGTCAGGTACCCATTACTGCTGGGTGGGCAGGAGGGGGTGAAAAAAAATCTGTGCCCGAACCGAGGGTCGAACCCGGACTTTCCGCTAGGGAGACGAGCGCACTAACTGCTCCGCCACCGCACAGTTAAGTATTGGTTTGGCTATTGGCTTTGAAATGCCTGAGGTGATACGCGTAAACTGCTAATTCATCACCCTCAAAGAACTATTTTTTTAAAAAGTACGTTCCCAGAAATTAGAGCTGTAATGACGATTTTTTTTTTTTCAAACGAAATTTTTCCAAAATTTATGTCATAAGTCTTTAATAATATCATTATCTAAACTTCTCCCAAGTTTATTTGCAAGAATTTTGAAAAGCGACGGCGAAGAAGATTTCCAGAAAGAATAATTTAAAGCATTGTATAGAAGGGTTATGAAAGTAGGCCACCAAAACACAGATTATATTATGTTTACAGTCCAACTCTGCTCTGACTGCTCTGACGATCGCCTGTCTATGAAACCATCGACACAAAACACGTGTTCCCTGAATGATAATAGTTTATACAGGTTCAACGGTATGACCGTGCTCAGTGGAGTTCATCGTTTGTAGGATTCGTAACGAGATAACTGATAATTGTTACCAAGTTATTATAGACTATAATACTAATAGTCTACAACACATTGAGAATGCATGTGTGAGTGTGTTTGTGTGAGTCGGTCTTTGCGTTTGGGGTTGTTTTCTTGTTGTGATAATCTTGGATAATAGTAAGATGATGATATTGGTATTGGTAAACTTGTACTTCTTTTTCCCTTTTTCGCTGTTGCTGTTTGTTGGTTTGTCGATAGGCTTGTATTATGTATCCATCCTTCTCACTCTCATGGGTAGAGCTAGAGTCTATGAGAGAGAGAGAGAGAGAGAGAGAGAGGGGAGGGAGGGGGAGAGAGGGAGAGAGAGAGAGAGGGGGGGAGGGGGAGAGAGAGGGAGAAAGAGGGAGAGAGGGAGAAAGAGGGAGAGAGAGAGAGAGAGAGAGAGAGAGAGAGAGAGAGAGAGAGAGAGAGAGAGAGAGAGAGAGAGAGAGAGAGAGAGAGAGAGAGATTTCACAAGCTTGATATGATAGCCGCTATCTTTTATCCCTGAACAGACCTCCAGTATGACGCATTGTTGTACATGTTACCAGCTGACCTCAAGAACAAGGGACTAACAACACTACCGTAAGTCATTCGCAATGATTGAGAATTCGCCAGACACTGTTAGCGGCTAATTACCGTCATGTCGATAGGGTGATCAAAATTGGCTTTGGGTTCGAGTGAAAAACGTTTGCGGTCAATTTCTCTAGCCGGACCGGAGCGAGAAAAAACGACACAATTGGCACATTTTTTACGTCTTCTGCAGACTGGTGTGTGTGTGTGTGTGTGTGTGTGTGTGTGTGTGTGTGTGTGTGTGTGTGTGTGTGTGTGTGTGTGTGTGTAACGGGAGGGGGGGTCTTTAGTTTTTCGCACGTTTATTTGAAAACACAATCCGGAACTAACGCTGCACGTGTGTAGGAGGTCAATCGAGTGCGGGGATAGGCAGACAGGAGGAAAGGGCAGACATTGCTGTTTATTTTGTTTTAGTTTTGGTCTAGTTTTGTGTAACCTAAGAAATTCGGTAACACTATGGCGATCTACCCTCTCCACCGTAGCCCTGCTTCTTAAATAGCAATGAGTCTCAGATTAAAGGCCTAACTGGGCGGCCAAAATATGATACGACCTTAGTGAAAGAACGATCACTAGTGATATAGGTCATCTATTACTGCAGTTTTCTTCGCAAACTAATAATAGAAAAGTAATTAATGTTCTGCGTAAACCTCTAATGATACTTCACATGACATGAATCGTTAATACAGCAATCATGGATGCCATAAATGATTTTTGAAAAAAAAAACCAACTGAAGATGAGCGGAGAATCACATCTCACCTAAAACAAACCTTGTAAAGTTTTTAAATGAGCACACAAAAAACATCTCTCTTACCTCTCCCCTTTCCTGTGCAAGGGTATGGGGACTTTGTTTCACCAATTCCAGTTATATTATATCTGTCTCGAGAAGAAGGACCTTATGTCAGTGGCCTTGTTCTTCAGGGATGCCAAATGATTTTTGAACCCCCCCCCCCCACCCGAAAAAGCCTGAAAAACTTGAGATTTGGCATCCCTGTGCAATGTACTCGTACTTGTATCTTGAACATTAGGTCAATGTCCTAGGCAACTGAGTGTTTACAAGGCCTTTTCGGGACGCGTCCACTCGCCGACATACGTGATGAACCTGCCTACAGACGAGGATGGTCTTATTGTGTAACCCAGCTTGTCTTCACGAAAAGAATGCTCTAATGTCTTTCTCCCCTGCCGAGATTGTGCATTTTGACATTCAGATTCCGAGCAGTCCAATCTCTCCAGAAGACTGGCCCCGTAGTAGGACTGCCACTGATATCACGTTTTTCATTTTATCTCACATCTTGACCTTCGTTGTGATAGTGATACATGCAGGCTACCCTTTTCCACGCAGTCTTATATAATGGGGTTGGCGTCCGCTACTACAGTTCAAGGACTACATTAAGACAAATTGAAATTACCCAGTACGGGCGGGCAGTTGACTATGAATTGACTAAAGGCCAATTTTCATAATCTCCAGTGGTGGGTTCCAATTATCTGTTGTCTCGTCTTTTTCAAAATGCATAAATGCGGGTGTTTTTACACCCCCATCGACCGAATTTAAAACATTTAGGGGGCGGGCTTCAGCCTTGTCTATCAGGGCCGACCTGGACTGAGGGATTTAACATCCCAGCAGAAAGACCGAGACACTCGACAAAAATTCTCCCAACTCGGGAATCTAACTCAAAATATAATATGTTTTCTGCATGTGACAGTGGAACGCCTAACCGATACACTATAGTCGCCGGTGCTTACAAACTTGCAAAAGACCAACATTTTGTTTGTTTGGTAAGGTTTTTAGTTTTAGTAAGTGTTTTACGGCACTTGCAACACACTAAGGTCATATAAGTGCCGAAGAGTGGAGGTGTTAAGAGAGTAACAAATACAAAAAGAAGGGGAGATAAGGACGATAGATGTTTTATGGGAAAGAAGAAGCAAACCACACCAGAGCACCCGCCAACCACCCAAGGAAAGGTTTTCCGGCGATCGCAAGAGCATAAGGTCATATAATGAGCGCCAAGGGGTGGATGTCAACTGAGAAGTCTAAATGGGGAATCAGGCTTACTCTGCTCACCTCTCTAGCCTAAACAACACAAAGTCTGCTTTGACTTTCAAGGCACCCCAGAAATAGTCCACAAGAGAGTTACAAACATACAAAAGAAGCAGAGGAAATGACGATAGTAAGGATGAGGAAAAAAAAGCAGACCAACATTTGGATCCAAGTGGTGGGTTCCAAATTTTCTGTGGTCTTTTGTTCGTTGACCACTGAGCTGTACTGGAGTAAGCACAAAGAGAGATGACAACGGCCTTATTGTCCAAAAATCGGATTTGTTTCTTTGTTTGTTTGAGTAAAGAGAAGCACATTGACACAATAATAGTCATTTAGTACTGAGAAAAAGTAAGACAGACAGAAAATGAAACAACAGAGGGAAAATGAAGAAGGACCTACCAACGGCGCCCTCCAACAACCCACCCAAAATCAGATGAGGACAAGGGTACATGTAATGGGAAAATGGAAAAAGGAAAAAAAGGAGGGGACTATGCTAGCAGCTCCCGCCTACTAACCCATCGGAGGGTCTGGTGATCTGCCTTACGATGTCCTACTCAGAATGTGCATTTTCATTATAATAAAATTTACAGAGATTTTGTGTTTATGTAACTCCAAGAACATTTCATGATATTTAACTTTCATATAGTAAGTAAGTGTGTATGGGTTTAACACCTCTATCAACACTATTAGGTTATATGAGAGGAGCGGCCTCCATATTTGATATCTGTCTCCTATAGGATTCATTTTCTTTGCTGATATTATAACACATTTGATACTATTTTAAAGGAGTGGAATATTTTTATAAAAAGAGTTGGAGCAAAGGGTGTCCTAAAAAACCTATTCAAGAAGATAAAATGCTTTTTCAGTTCAGGTGACAATACATTATTACCAATGCAATTTTTGAGTGAGAGAACAAGCTTTTTAACATTTGCAGAAAAAACACAGTAAAAACAACACATGGATGAAATATAAAATGGTCAAGAAAAGTAAAAAGAATGGACAAAAACACCACACGAAACAAGCTTGTTATAGAATTTCATTAAATTTTATTTTCAGAATAGAAATTGCTGTGCACTGTTTCAACACTAAGGTGTTCACCTCGTACTCAACAAAGCTGAAATTTGCCACTGAAGTCCAGTGTCAGAAACTTCCTCCATCAAATCCCGAGATGAAACAATCATGATTTTAGCCAGTTATATTTGTCCCCCCCTCTCCCCTAAAACTTTCACCTAATACAACCACCCTCTGCACAGCTTCTACATGGCTGTCCAGGGCTCCACACTGACGCCAGACCAGTTCACTTTTTCCATATTTTGAAACATCCGTCATTAGCGTGAAACAACACATCTCCTCAAAGTAATAATTCTCACACTTGACAAAGTGCCAGGTTTTTCTTCCCCAACCAACAGGCTCAAGAGTGGAAGGCGTTGTGATGAAATGAGAAACATGATAAATGACAAGTCCATTTTTCCATCTTTGCATAAGCTTAGTACAAAACCAGGATTCTTATCCGAAACGAGAAAAAAAACCCCAGCAACCCCCAAGGGCAATGCCATAACACTCATGGAATGATGTCCACATAAAATGTTGTAGACATTTAGTTTCACATAATATCCACTTGGTACTTCATGCCATACCAAAACTTTCTACCATTTCTTAACTCCAAGCGCAACAATCATTTTCACTTTCAAAACATTTCTTAGGAAATTACAACCAAAAGTAAAAAGGAAAACACGAAACAGAGAACATCTAAACCATGAATCTGAAGGCTTGAGGGGGAGGGAACCGACTGAGTCAGAAATCGACTGAGCAGACAGGGTTATTAAGTGTATAAAAGAAAGATAGAACTTTAATATTAACTTCATCTTTAAAGGTGATGAAAAAAGCACCCAACTAAAGTAGACTGAAAACTGCTGCAAACTTGGCCCCAATAAAAAAGGGATACCCTACGAAACCCCTGGGAAAATACTATCTGGAATATCAAGTATTAAGGCTGTTGTAAATTTCACAGAAAAAAAAAATCAAAAAAATCCCACACTCATTTTTTGAAGTACAAAGTAACCATTTAAATGTAGTGCCAAACAAAAAAAAAGGTTCCTATATCAACAAAATCATTTAAACAAACAAAACTATAAAACTTCAACAGGATATGATGCAGTTAATGAGGAAAGTACAGGTCTCTTCATCTTCCTCTAGCAAAGGGGACTAAAAGTAAAGGTTTAACCACCAGCATTTCAGAGGTCAAACCATTACTTTTACCAAGTCAGATGGTAAATAAAGTGTCACGACAGTAAAAAAAACCCAAACCCACAGGGGATTAATATTGAGCAGAGTAGCAAATTTTCTTCAAAATTACTTTCACCTATTACCAAGAGTGATGTTTTTTCACACTAGAGAAAAAAAAATGAACTCCAACAACTAGCAGTTAAAAGGCAGCTTTGTTCACAAGGAGGGCCTTGAGAGAAAATGGGTTTAATCGAGCCAGCAGAGTCTCAATTTCCCCATAAGCGGCAAAACAATTTTCTGGAAAAAAACCCAAAACAATAACCAACCAAACACCTTTTACAGTAACACAATATGCTCTTTATCATGATAATGGTGACACACATTCAACCATTTTGATTGATCTATCGACATTCCACTGGATGCAGTGAGGACTTAACCACACTAAAGGGCTTGCTCTATAATATATACATGCATGTTTTCCTGTGTGACACAAGTGCACAGTTTTTTCTATGCTTTCATCTTCACAACCTGCCAAGAGGCAATGCCTAACCACATTTATCACACGCACGACAAAAACTTTTTTCATCTTGGCACTGGCAAACTCTAAACATCAATCACAAGACAAAGACAATAACAATGTACTCTAATTAACAGAAGTTAACGTAACATAAAATTTGTAAAAAAAAACCAAAAGAAGTGAGCATGTGTAATCCAGAGAGGAAATACAATTTGTAATCATTTACTGTGTCAGACGAGGTGGATATGATAAAAACTTGTCCACATAAAAAGCAAGGTTTATAGCATATTTGCTCTGCTTGAAAAAGCTTGACAATTGCCTAAAACCTCCCTAATAAATAAGAAATAAACCTCATTGCTATATTATCCTACTGTTAGATATAAATTAACTAGGTGGTTTACAGGTGAGAAAGGTATGTTAGCCACAATCAAATTATATATATCTGATGTTTAGAGGTCAGCTTGAACATTCAAGACCACGCCTTTAAACTCACACTGCTTATGTATAGAACTATTCACATCGTATGACGTTTGAAAAACTACGGTACATGATAGGATTGTGCCGGGCCCATAAATACAACACACAGCATTGAGTTATATTATGTCAAGGACACAAATCCTGTAGAATGATCCTGATCATAAGAGTACAAGTGGTGGTGCGTCTCTGATTAGTTGGAATATTACAGGCTCTCACAATACACTTGTCAATAACATTGAAATTGTAAATAAAAACAGAAATCCACCAGCATTAAATACATTTCAGACACATACTGGAAAACAATAATAAGAAAACAGTAAAGATATGTTTACATAAATTATACCAAAAACAACAATAAGACAAGCACATAGTTTATAGACTGAGTAAAGTCTGAAATCTCAAAATATATGGACCTGAATTCATTTGGCAACACAAGAGCTGTTCTATAAAGTGATAATTGAGGATCCAGTGTCCATTTCAGTGCGCATACTCAAGTCCAAGTCAGACGTTGCAGAATATTATCTGGCACACAAAGTGAACTGGGCCAAGAGAGCAGTACTTCATTTCTTTGAATTTCAGAAAGGAGAGAAGAGTGGAGTATTCTAATCTTCACTCAATGTAGACACGAGAGACAGACAAAATCAAAGGCAAAACAAAGATTGAATAATAAAAGGTTACACATATCAACATGTCCTCTGGTTGTAGCAACTTGAGCCGGCACAACAAACTTTTGAATAAGAAACTAAAAATTCAAATTCACACTCACATCACACCCACACGTAGAATCATCGATTAATAAATACATTTATCTGTGTTGACAACACTGGAATCAAGACATGTTCCCTGCATTTGATATTGGACAATTGGTAACTAGCATTTATCGTGAGTACGTGAGTACAGTTATAACCTTCCTCCACACATTGGTCTTCCAACAACACGTCTGCTGTTGTTAATTCTATTACATCAGGTCGAGAGCTTGTAGAAATTCTTTTCGCAGGGATTCTCGTCTACCATGTCCTTCACACAATACAGTGTTCACGATAAAACAAGTGTTTACCTCTTCCCCTCCCGACAAAAAATAAGAAACAATTCATGCAGATATAAGCTCAAGACTTTGCACTTGCTGCCGCGTTCAGTTTTTCGTACATGTCAGCAATTTCCTTGGTAAAATTCTTGTGTGCATCAGAACGTTTCAATTTGAAAGTTGGGGTGAGCATGCCATTCTCCACTGAGAACAACTCAGGATGAACGTAGATATCCTTGACCTAAATGAACAAAGAGAAAAAATAAAAAAAACGTTATTGTTGCGATCGACTGAGAAGCAGTTGAGCCTTCTCTTTTCATCTCTACCCCTTTTAGCAGAACGAAAATGTCCATCTCAATATTGTGTTCACCCTGGGGTTTGCAATGCTGACAAGAGCAACTCTACAAAATTATCACTAAAAACAAGTTCAATTTGTGAGAAGTAAGGGTTTTACAGCCCTTATAACACAAACAGGTAACACAGCTGCTGAGGTTACGAGGTGTAACCAGAGAGACATACAAAGAACATACAAAGAAAAGAAGGATGAAAGGTAGGGACAGTCAACTACCCATGCGTAATCTTGAAACTTTTCAACTCCTTTGGGGAATTTGACTAATCAGAAACTAACCATTACATGCCTCTGTTCCTACACAGCAAAAACCCATACATAGCTGGATCAGTCAAAGAATAGGGTCTGGTAATGTCAACAGAATAAGAGCACAATCAGAGATTTTATAGTTAAGAACAGGTTTTTTTCCCCATAGTTATTGTATTTACTCTTAGCCATTAGCAATAACAAAACATTTCCTCCACCTGGCCATCCGGGTCCAAATTCACTGTTGTGTTTAAAACAGATGTAAAAACCCCCCAGAATACATCATATTCCAGCTTGGTGTTCACAACCAGATCTGTGCAATAGAGGATTGGCATTAAATGGATGAAGCATTTGCCATTTTTAATGATAGAATGTCTCCGTCCTTGAAAAACTAATTAGTACAGTGTAATTTTTAAAAAGATTATTATAAACCCACCTGCTCAAGCGAAGACAAGCCATTCTTCTTGGACAAATCTATCAGATCTTTAAAGATGGCCTTTTTCACCTCCTGTAAGAAAAATTGTCATGCAATATTAATAAACATATTTTAAGAAATGATGAAAACTTAGGTTACGCATGATATCAATCATGATTTGTTGATTAGAACCCTAAATCACAGGAAAATCTATCTGAACGGGACATAATTGCAATCCACAGGCATTTTAATCCTTTTACAAACATGAAGACAAAAGACACGAATAAAAATTATGCCTTAATAACTGAACTTTCATTACCCTACTCCAGTCACAAATAATACAAACTAGTTCACCCCCCCCCCCCATATATATTTGCTGCGACCTGAAATGGTCATTTTTAAAAGAACTTTTTAGTTCTGTTTCGCTATAGATCCAAACTGACGGATCTTCTCTATTCACGATGCCAAAGGTCTTGAGGGCACCTAAGCATTGTCTCCATGCCGTGTGCAGAACTTAAGAAATGTCAGGGATGGTGAGTTTGTGGAGAGGTAATGTTCAATACAAAAAGCTCTCTGCTCTTTACTAAATGTAGCCATGATCTCAGCAGGCAAACAAAATTTGGGAAAAATAATATCTGCAGACTTCTGTTGAGTTGTTAGACTGCTGTACCTTGCAATAGGACACGTTTTTGCAACTTTTAAAAGGTAGGCCTAATGCAAACTGGTGCGTCATGCTATGAAAATGGCGACAAGTATCTTTTGGCTTCCAAACATTATGTTCAAATCTGAAACTCAAAACTTCAGTATGGAGGAAGATATTTACAAAACAAGTTGTAAAGTTTTTTTTGGATCACCCTGTACATATGCAGGAGCAGGTCAGTTTTGGTGGCTATAATTAATCTTTGCCATTTATTCCCTGAAGGTCGACTGATTAGTTACTGAACGCAAAGGTAAGCCATTACACCCAGAGCACACGACCAGTCAATTCAGTTTGATCGAGTCAAGGCCCGCCAGATTTTCCTCCATAGAGGGACAAAAGCTGCCATTTGGTCACAATTTGATTAAATCTTTCAAAATCAAACAAGGTTGTTTTTGGAAGATTTGTTCAAACTGTCCCAAAATGGCAGATTTTGCCCCTCTACAAAGGAAAATCCTGGCTAGCCCTGACTGAATCAAATGTATCAAATGGGCAAGGTGCTCTGGGTGTTTGTCAAAGGAGGGTGTTTACCTCATTCTTGCACAATTCTTCCATACTGCCAGTCACTCCAAGCTTGCTGGCCAGGCCTGGCAACGTCTCTGGGTCAGGTATCACAATGCTTACCAGACATGCCTGGGATAAAAAAGTTCACATAAAATGATACAAATTTTCCAAAACACTTCCGGACCTTTTCAAAATGACACGAAGAATACCCTGTCCTTAGACTTAATTGGAACAAAGACAAAAAACACTGAATATAATCTGAAGACTACTGCCGTATCAATTCTTCTATGTTACAAGGAAAATTGAAAAGAATCTGTACTTTCACGGAGGCTGTAACAGGCCGAACATTTTAGCAATTGAATTCAGGAAATGAGAAATTTAGGTTCTATCATTTTGTATCACACATTGTTGGTCCATTCAAATTTTTATACAAACATGCACACCCCTACATTAGCATAGACATTAGGATTGATCCAGTCAGACAAAATGGAAAACAATCTTTTCAATAAATATTTTCTATAATCTCGCAGCATACCAATTGCCCCACCCCCCAAAGAAAGACAAAACCCCCCCCAAAAAACAACAACCTGAAACTCCGAGCATCACAGGACATGATTTCATTTCGATTGGGAAGGTGGTTCTACAGCATTATCGACACAGTACATCATGCTTTTCTAAGCAATCTGTTTAACAAACAAGACTGCGAGCACAAATGTACTCATGTCTGCGCTGCCACATTAAATCACTTCCAAGGCACAAATATTTCATTTAACTCCCATTTCATTTTTGAAGTTGAAATAAATATTGTTATAGGTTTAGGTTGGAGAAAGTCCATACCTGCAAGCTGTCCCCATGGACGTAAACCTGAGCCAGATATGGTGACTGGGCAAGGATATTCTCAATCTTCTCTGGAGCAATATATTCACCCTGAAAAACAGAAGGAAAAAAGCATTTAGGGTCTGAAAGCAATATGTAAAACAAATTCGTTAGCCATGTGTGACACTATTGTATTCGTATGCATATAGACAACTTAAAAACACATTTACCTTTGAAAAAGCTGAGCCATTAACTCAAAAGATTTTGAGTGTTTTCGAGACTATTTTATTGGAAAGGTAGAGGCAATGTAGCAAAGATCAGATACTTTAACTCGAGCACTTTTGCAAGATCTCCTGATAAATTCACTCACCAACGTAAAGTTATTTGTTTTTATACATTCTAAATTCTTTTTCTGACAGACACACAGTGTCTCTTGTCTTTCAGGCAGGTTGTAGACAACCTAATTATTTACACTGATGATCAGTTGCTTCAACTTGGGGGGTGGGTGGGGTGGGAAGCCGAATTATTTATAACAGGTGCAATGTACACACAGGACATGTAACGTGTTTTTTGCTATTATCCGAGAAAACTAAGCGCTTGATCCCATCAGGCCATCCACTTATGCCTGCACTTTGGTATGAGACTTAAGAAGCTCAACATTAAGGAGCTCTAATCCATATATTAAATATACTGATACACGATTCTCTTCCATCTATACACCAAGCAGTTCAGTGAAATTCCCAACATTACCAGTTGTGTTGTTTGGTGTGGCAAAGGCCTGTGATCACCATGAAACTGGGTACCTATTTCATTCTTTGTGCAGAGAGTTAAAGGAAGCAGAAGAATTACAGCAGAGAGAGGGAAATCGACACAACAATTGGCAAATGGGGAGAAAGGAGAGGAGACAAATCACTGTTTGTGCTTCACAACAAATTGCTCTTGAACATCTAAGGCAAAATCTCAATCACTACGTAGTATGTATTTAGTAGCTCTAAAAACAGTTACATTTTTAAGACAGCTTAACCAGAGATACAAAAGTCATAATTCCTAACATCTTCTGTTAACTTAATAGTCTTACCTGAGCTAATTTGAAGATATTCTTCTTTCTGTCAATGATCTTCAACGTGCCGCTCTGAAAGAACAAAAATCCACTTGAAAGAAGAGAGGAATAACAAAGTACAGTATGAGATAACTTTGACGTTAATGAAGGAGGATGAAGTTGTAATGTGGATAAAAAAAACGCATATAAAAAAAAAAGAACTAACTCCCCCTCCCATGTAGTAGTCAAGCACTTTGATGCCGCATGCAAAAGACTCAAGTTTGATTCCCATTTGGGATTATGTTGTATTTCTCCTAGCCCAGGTGACCTCAACATGCAAAGTCGAAACCTGTCTCCCACATGAGCTAAACTGTGTTGATTGGAGCCAAAAACAGTCAACACTATTTTCTTTTTTAAATAGAAAAAGGGAAGTTTTTAAAAATGATTTCGAACAAATTAGGCGCAAAAGTTGAGAAATTTTTTAAAAAATTTGACACTACTGGGGGTTGTGGTGAAGCAGGGTATACAAGTGACATTTCTTAGAAGTTCCCAGAATTTACGAATGAGGTCCAAATTCATTTGGTCCACCTGCAAAGCTTTTTGTAGCAGTCCCACATCTTGTCAGTACACTTAGCGCAGGAGCCTTCTAAACATCCTACTTTACTGCTCGCAGGACTAAAAAAACAAATCCGACAAACAAATGTGTCCCAGCTAAAAGTCGCAACTTTTTTCCATGTTACAGTGCAACACTCACAGGCATCCATTCGCCAATGTCTCCCGTGTGCAGCCAGCCATCCTTGTCAAGTGCCTCATCTGTCTTGGCTTGGTCCTTCAGGTATCCCACAAACACATTTCCACCTTTCAAGCACACCTAACCCCCCAAAAAAAATCAGCCAAAGAAAAAGTTAAGTCCAAATGAAATTAAAACAATTGAAACATAACAAAATAATGAAAAACATTTATCAACAAGTTAAATTCAAATGAAATTGAAACATAATAAAATAATAATAAACACAACACTTGAGGCGAATTACTGTCTGCTGTGAGGGTTGGAACGGAAAAAAAAAGAAGAAGAACAAAAAATGAAAAATATGCGATAATACTTTTACACCCTACTTCAACACGTAAACAATATATAGAGGGTTGTCACCTAGTTAAACCTTAACTCAAAAGCTGGAAAGTTATACCAAAAAAAGTGAAAAGAAATAAGCAAGATTTCAGGCAGCAGGGAATGACAGAGGTAAGACTTTTAAGTGGTACCCTTTGAGAGCTTCCAGTGTATCTCAATTTTCCATCAAAAGACAACTCAATGGTAGAAGTTTGCAGTTTGGCACTGAACTGAAAGTCTACATTCATAACAAAGAAGATTGGAAATCAACGTTCCGTAAGTATGAGGCTTAAAGCTTGCATTTCACCTGAAAAGATGTGTATAAGCATATGTTTTTGATAATGAAGCTTATAAATTTCATAAAATTTTAATTCCAAGGCACGAAACTCACTGGCACAGCTACCACAATCTTAAAATGAAGGGAATTATAAAAACTTTCTTTCCTCCTTCAAGAAAAGCTGTAACAACAGAATTCAAAGATACAGACGAATGACTCACCTCGCCTTTGTTATTATTGGAATAGTAGTCCATCTCAGGCACATCTTCCAGCTTTACCATCAGACTTGGAAGGGGGGGACCAACATGCCCTGACACCAGGAGGGAAAAATTTGAATTTACATTTTAACACAAAGAAATCAATATTTGACTCCCTCTAAAATAAAAAAAGCAATCCCTAAATGTTGAGACACAAAGCCATTCAGGCAGTCTTGCAGACAAGATGCATTATAACAAAATATCCTGTTTATCTTTACAAGATACATTTACTACACACACACATAATAAAAAAAAATAATTTACAAACAAAAATTGTTTGTTGTAACACTTATAATGATTATTAAGTCATGATTTTAAAAAAAGGCAAAAATGAAAAACAGGAGAGCAAGGGAATAGAACTGACTGCCTGCCTGTAATTAAAAGACAGAGTTCTGAAACAACTGTAAACAATTCATGAGAACCTACCAGCAAGAGAAAGTACAGGTCTTCTTTTTGAGTATTAAAGACAACATAATATCTTATCCCATACCCTAATTTTACGATGTTAGACATGGATCAGAAAAAATGGGAAAATACAATCCCAGGCACATATATGTAAAGAATTGCTACCACAGCTTGTTCTCAGGTTTCTAGATGCATAATATCTGAATTGCAAGTACCTGGTTCAGAATCTCCGACGACTGTAACCGTAGCTATCCCTGTATTCTCCGTCTGTCCATATCCTTCAAGAAGCTGCAGAAACAAAAACAGCATTACAGATTCATTCACTACACACTTTGCATCATCACGATGAACTGGTATCTTTTCTTTCCAAAAATCTCTTTGGATATTCCTTATGTTTCACAGCAGAAAAACCACTCAACAACAGGGCTTGGCCATAAGGGGAAGACAAAAATGGCTATTTCAAATAATTATGTAACCCATTCCTTCATAATGTCAAAAATTTTACATGTTTCATAACTGAGTTCTTAATTGAGTTCTTTGTCTAACATTGCCATTCTCAGCTCTGGATCTTATTAGAAATCTACATTTACATTATCCTTCTCCTATCCTTCCAATAGCAAAAGGTCCATCTGTAACAGCATGGGTGAACATTAGAGTGGTTCAGAAGAGCACAAATAAGTTCTAGATAATCAATTTGCGACATAAACTGTCATTAACATCTGGCTAAGTAACTTCTGTACTGAGAAGACAGAAAAATGGAAGGAGGATTTGCAAATTCCTGAATGTTGTAAAGAAAAGGATGCCCTTTCCTTCCTTTTGATACAATATTAAGCATGAGCTTTGCGTTTGGGAATACTGACATTTCACTTTGGAATATAGACTAATAAAATATGGAGGAAATTCTTTTATTTTCAAGAAGCCATCTTCTTCATAGCCATCTAAAGCTGAAAGCTCACTCAACAGTACTTACAGGACATCCAACAATGCACCTCAAGAAACTGAGGACTGTGCTAGAAATGGGGGCAGAGCCAGTGGTGATGACTCGCACTCGTCCCCCCAACGCCGCCTGTACTGTGCGGAACACAATCTTGTCCCAAATACTGTTGTTGCGAATCACTCCCCTGAAAACACACAATATAGTTATGAAACATTTAAATACGCATGCCTTTCGAAACAGAAAAAAAAGCAATGGTCTTAAAACACTGTTTTTAACATACTATAAATGCTACAAGCTACATAGGAAACTTTCACCATCTTTCATCATATATGATTGTCACAAGACTTGCTGGATATTTTTCAATGTCAAGTGAGGAACTTGTGAAAATCAAAAGAATCCTGAAGGACAGAGACAACCAGGTTTGTGAAACAAGAAATGTATACACCTTATCAAACTGTCCCTTACATTAATAAACAAGAGAGTTTTCACTCAAAAAACAGATACACCAGTAAGGCTTAAAAGAAGAAAAATCATCTACCACTGCCCCCCCCCCCCCCCACCTCAAATAACCTTTTTCCATTATACATAACTAAAAATGACGTATAATTTCTTTACCGTTTTAATTCTTTGCTCTTGCTGTTCAAAGCCATGTTAAATAAGAACTTCTTCACTTTGCTGGCGTTTACTCCAGACATGACCTGTGGACAGAAATGACAAATTGTACTCACTCCACATAAAAAGAGTGATAGCGCAACCCAAGCAAAATGATCAGTCCTTTAGGTACAGCTCTTTCAGTACTCGATGTAAAGGGAACTGTAGAAGTTTTAAACTCGTATCAACACTAATTAGATCATTCAGGGGGCAGGCAGTTTCGACTGCCTGTCGCAGCTAACTCAGGCTGAGAGGAATACAACATCCAAGCAGAAAGACGGAGTTATTTGATAAATATTCTTCCTTCATAAGAATTGAAATTGTGTCTTCTTCTCGCGACGGTGAAGCACGTAACTACTACACCTGTCACCGGTCTGTTTTTTCTGATAATTTTTATTCAAATCTGTGACTTCAAGTACAACTGAGATAAGTGGACTGAGCAACAGATTCAGATCTTCATTCATTCCTACCCAACAAGCAAAGTTTTACAAAACAATTTTTCACTCAGGACATTAATCCTTTTCATTGCAAAAATTATCAGTTTAACTTTTCTTTTGCTTTCTGCAGCTGGTCTGTTACATTTCTCCCCTTGCCATACTGACAGAACCGAACTGCCTTACCTTGTCATAAAACCTGTTCAGCAACCTCGGCACTGATGGGAATAGGGTTGGCTGCAGTTCCTTAATATCATCCATGAGTTTCCTCACATCTCCTTGGAAGAATCCAATTTTGGCTCCCACAGTAACAAGACAACTCTGAAAGAAAATTGAATTGCGGTTGAAAGTAAGGCACCATTTTTTCAAATATGATATTCTATTCTTTTCAACAAGTACCCAGATAGATAAATCTTCTAAACAGGGGCAACATAATAGCAAATGAGTTTCAAATAAAGAGTTATTGAGAAAATCATACAAGAAACAGTCATCAGAAACACAAAGGCAGAAGCACTGTTGCCATTTCACAGCCAAGGGAGGGAATATATCAGTAAAATTTGCAGCCTTGTGTATAAATATGGCTATACAGTTTCATCACAATAAATTTCTATGATATCTTATAGAAGAGCTTGCAAGATTAAGGGACTGATATAAGTAAGAAAAACCCCCCACATTTTGGTTTCAACAAACCAGGCCTATCTAAGTGGACAAAGCGCAAGAAGGAAATCTGGAACTGTCTGTACAAGAGTTAACCCATAGAGATAAAAAGAATCTCAATATGGTAATCAACACTTCCCCTCTCATTCATATTGACATTAACACCCAGACTTGAGCAAACAGCAAGAAGAACAAGAGAGAGGAGCTCACATTTATCAGCAGCAAAACATCCACCCTTAGGTCAAGAGAAATTCTATAAGTGCAGGTAAAGGTCTCCGGCATTGCTGCTGTAATTGACATAATGGTAAAATTGCTCTTGTTGGAAAGAACGAGGCCAGTAACAGCTTTTTAGTTTGAGTAAAGAGAAGCATATCACCACAATAACAGCTATTCAGTTTAGAGAGAAAGAGCAAAACAGACAGACAGAAACAACAGAGGGAAAGCCCAGGAGAACCAGTCGTTACTTTAAATAGCATACCTCCAGAGCTCTCTCATATGAATGAGCCAATGGTAGGTAGGAGATGAGCACATCCTCATTTGTGATTTCCACACCGCAGCTTTCCTGCACAGATAACACACAAAACAAGGGTAAATACAATTCACATTTTGAAAGGACTACAAGATAGGACATTTTATAAAATGTTTAATTCTCACGTGGAAAATAAAAGGACGAAAAAACAAAAGTGAGAGTCTGATTCCTGGCTAAATTAAATAAAAGTGCTTTATTTTCCTCAGTTCACTGAGTTGTAAATCCGTACCAGGCAACTGGCAGAAGTGGAATTCGTTGAAAGAGAGCGCTATATGCCCAGCATACTGCAAAACTGAATGCCCTAAAACTCTTTTATTAAGAGTTAACAAGAGATCACTCCAAAACCTACTTACAATAGTTTGTAATGATTAGCAATCTGTATATGTATAATAATGTGAGTCATGAAAGTTGATTTAAAAAAAACCCACCTAATTTTTCTGCCTGTTAGGTAATTTTAATCACATTTTCTTTTTTGGCTAAACACCTTTTCTGTCTATTAAAAAAAAAAACACAACCAATTTCTGTGTGCATTTAATTGAAAAATGATAAAATGCACCAACAAAATTTAAATTTGCATTTTCCAAGGATTCACAAGGTCTGGAAGTCACAAAACTTAGGCGTTCATTTTCTCGCTAATTTTATCTCTGACACCAAGTGACCCTCACCTCCTTCAATCGCAAAGATATCTCTACTTCTATTCATGATAGATGGGCATTGTTTTCATCAAAAGCAAGACAAATCAACAAGCTTTAAGATAAAATCAATTACTCCATATGCCCAAATATTGACGAATGCCCGATTCCACTGAGTCATGACACAAATATCTATGTAATTTAACAGTTAGGCAAATACGTAAAACTCGAATATCTTCAATACATTTGTTTTCTATAGAAAACATCACTCACCAGCACTTTCAAAGCTGCGGACACACAAACTGCCATATTTCTGTGAGTAATCATGGCTCCCTTGGGAGTCCCTAGAGAAGGCAGAGAAAAAAAAATTTTTTGAAATAAAAGAAATTCTACCCCGGCATTCAAAACAAACTTCTTCAAATATGAAACATTTAAGTTGAATGACAGAGCTGTTAGTAAACTATATAAACAAGAAGAGTCTACAGCGAAAATAATATATTTCTTCTTTGTTTGTTTGTTTGAGTGGGTGTTTTACAATACTATCGACTCAGTTTAGGTCATGTAAGTGCCAAAAAACGTTTCACTTTTGTGAATCTAGTTAAGTATTAAAGGGATGGACAGATATTTATAAAAGTCTGTAAATATGGTAACGTTTTATTCATATATTCCTTTAATCATTCTTTTTTTAACTGAGAAAAATAATGCTTTATAAAACTGTTTTACCCAAAGGAAAGTTTCAGCAACATCAAATAATTCCTTTAGACTTTAAACATTTCTTTTGTTTTTAATATTATGGTATAGGTTTAACGCCCCTATCAACACTATTAGGTTATTTAAGGGGCGGGACCTCCTAGTTTAACGTCCGTCTCCGATAGGACCGAACCAAGTGGGAAGTTCATGTAAAGTACTTTCCCAAGGACACAACGTCGGACCGAGCTGAGGCTCGAACCCCCAAACTCGCAATCTCACGATTACGAGTCAGGTAGCCTAACCACTAGGCTACCGACGCCACCTGTTTTTAATATTAAAAGGTAAACATAGACAAGTAATGCCTACAGTAGAGACTATCTCTTCACAATACCTGTGGTTCCACTGGTGTAGCAGACCATGCACAAGTCATCTGGCTTAGGAGGGTGAGATTCCACAGGGTTTTCTCTGCCAAGTTTCTGTAAACAGAAGCAGACATTAATGCAACAAGCTTGCTAGGTTAAAAAAAACCCAAAAAGCAACGGATTAGCTCGCTCTCGCCCCCTCCCCCCCCAATAAAAATGTAAAAATTTGCTTTTGTCATTGCTGAATGCAGTCAGCACAGAAGAACAACTCAATAAGTCGCAATGGAATACTAGTAGCATCAAATAAGTCTAAAAATAAAGAAACACCAAATTGTCAAAATCAGAACATGTAAAGTTCAAATGGTTTTAGACTTTCATTACAGTTCTCGAGAACTGCAACCCCAAAAAGCAGATCATTGCATTAAATAAAGCATTTGAGATTAATGTGAATGTACCAAAGACTCCACATTCAGGCATGCATCACTTCTGCAGGCAACTTCAGCTGGCATTAACGTTTGACTTGATGGACCTGCCTTGAGCACAACTATCTATACCATACTGGGCACTTGTTTGCCTCAGTCTACAGCAGTGTACTGTACAGCAGTTATTTTTTTGTTTTTTAAAAACTTTTTTTTTGTGTGTGTTTTGCCCCATTTTTTTTTCAATAGTTTTGAATTTGCAAATTGAGTTGTTCCAATGCAGAAGTGCCCCTGGTTACATTTTGCAAACAACTTAAATCCCCAAATTTCTTTTAAAATTGTGTAAATTGTGAAAGATAAAAATACTGGTATACACTGTCTAGCAGTCGACCCACAAGGGGTTAGGTCAAGCAAAATCAGGTGGTCACAACATAATCTTAAGACTTCTCTGACAAAAATTGAGGGGAAAAAAAGGGAACTGGTGAAAGGTGCATTACCTCAACTTCGTCAAGGTGCAGGATCTGGATTCCTTCTGCTTCAGCTTTTGCTTTGTTCTCCTCTGTGACAGGCTCAAAGAGTATCATCATAGAAACATCTGGCATCTCTCTCCGCCTATCAAGAAGACTCTTAACCTTTGCATTGTTGTCACAAACAATCACATGAAGGTCCGCTGAAAAGAAAAAACGATTTTTTTTATCTATGCATTTTACCATCTACATGTCCATGGAAAGAGCAAATGTGGAGAAAAAAAGTTATCACCCGCATTTATTATGGGATGCTCAATCCTATATCATACAGTTCTACTACATGTGTAGATGTAGGCTTACCCTAGTAGCTAAAGGAAAGAATATCCCACCACAGTAAATATTCAACACCCCCCCCCCACCCCCCAAATAAAGCAAGCAAAAATAAACGAACAAGAACAATCAATAAACAGCTTGCAACATCCTTTTAAGGAATAAACTTAATAGCATCAGACAGTTTTCCTCTCACTTCTCTCAGGTAAGCTTTTTAGGACATGCCCACTTTGTACCCCACCACTTCTATCTATTCAATGCATACTCTTCTCAAAGACATAAAAGGTGCGGGAGGTTTCTGCTTCATCTGTCCCAACACACAAGGCCAGCAAAATGTGTTTCTAGCTTGTCCTTGAACAAATGAGCTCTGGTGTTCCCCAGTGACATCACTGTATTACTCCAGTCAACGTCAAATCAACCCATCCAGCTTCAAGTTGTCACGACACATCTCTATATTCTGATTGTGACACCTTTTTCGAGTAAATTGCCTATATATTTTTCCCAATTGAGATAATTAGGCCCGTGCAACTGCCAAAATGATAAGAAAATCACAATTTCTTACTCTGGTTCACAGAAAAGCACATCAATGGCTAACCAAGAATAATGGTAAAGAGCAAAATGTAAAGAGAGAAACAACACAGGGACAGTAAAGAAGTAAGACCTAAGTGGTGCCTCCCACATGACAGAGTAAGCAAAGTAAACAATGACAAATCCCAAAAAGAAACAGAAAATAAATAAACCTTGATTGACGATGAAGTTGCAGGCTTCAACTCCCAGAGTATCATATAGAGGGACTGGAGTCATAGAATGATACAAGAAGCCTTGGTCAGCAATGACGTACTGCAAACAGATGAACATGATTAAAACAGCAGTAGTTTTAATTTAATTCTAGTAAGAGTTTTATGTCACTTGCAACACAATAAGGTCATGTAATTGCTGAAGATTAAAGGTGTTACAAGAGAGTAACAAACACAAAATAGAAGGGGGGGAGATAAGGATGATAGATGTTTGATAGGAAAGAAGGAGCAAACCACACGAGAGCACTCGCCAACCACTCACAACAGCAGTAGTTCATTAGGTGCATATCATCAAGAATTAATAAGCTCAAGAGTAACCCAAAAGAAAGTAAAAGAAAACCACACCACCGCACCCACAAACAATCTCCTGCAAGACATGCAGAAACACAGTCATTGGTAAACAGTCATCAATATGCATTTCCAAGAAAAATATGTTTTAGTAAGAGTTTAACGGCATTTGCAACACAATAAGGTCATATAAGTACCGAAGAATAGATTATGTGTTTCAAGACAGTGACATACACCAAAAAGAAGGAGGAGAGACAAAGACGACAGAAGTTTGATAGGAGAGAAGGAGCAAATCACACCAGAGCACCCGCCAACCACCCGCCCAAGAAAACTTTGCCCACTGGAGAGCTGCAGCCATGACAAACAAAGTGACAGCTATCGACATCATGAGGATCTAAAAGAACCAGTGAGAGTAAAAATAAACACATTGACATGATAACGGCCATTTAGTACAAGGAAAAGGACAAAGTAGACTGTCAGAAAACACGGAACGAAAAGGAGTAGGACCTACCAATAGCATCCAAAAATCACAAGCAAAAGAGGACAGAAAAAAAGGAACCCTCTCATAACATGTATCAGTATCAGGACTGTCAGCACCCACTATGCTGGGACCATGTTTTGGTGGGAAATCTACAAGTTGCATATGTCACTAAATTGGTAATTAAATCAAAACAAAAGAATCTTTTTGATAGCTCTTCATCTAATGAAAGAATTCCCAGTAAGAGAGGCACGTTTTCTACATTTGCGGAGCCGAAAACTAATAGGACGTCTAAGTCGTCACAAAGAAATATGCTGGGGTGGCTTGCCCAAGATAAGCTAAGCATAGATTTTTTTGTTTGTTCTGCATCGGCTGTGACTAAAAATGGCCTAAAAAAAAGACATGACATCATGCTGACTTCACAAGAAATTATTACACCTCTAACCGGTTTGAGACAGCAGGCGCAAAAGTCTTTTGACTTGAACATGTACGAGCACTGAAGAGTAATCACTGACAACAAACCTCTGGCCTGTTCTGTGAGTAGATGCCAACACGAGTGTCGTTCTCGGCAGGTAGACCCAACTTGATCAGACCATCTCCAAACGCCTTTGCTCTGGCATTTACCTGCACAAAACAAAAACAATTTCAAGTAAAACTTCAATATACTGATATAATATATTCAGGCAGTTGCAAGACAAGTAAGTGAGTTAAGGTTTGTTACTCACCCTGTCAAGCAGAAATTTTTTGTTGTTGTAATAGTGACAAATACTGCTTGAGGCCCATCACAGCTTACGATCCTCACTTGAGAGGTGGTGAACACATTGAACTAGGTCTGTGACCCACAAAATAAACAGAAAAGGCCTAACAGGCTAAGGGTCTTTAATATTCTAAATGTTGATACGAAGTTGTTCCTTTAATTGGTGTTCACTACCAGCATTAGCATCAAGAAAACCCCTACAAGCCGTATGAGTGTTCTCTTCCACCTTCTAAAAATTTAACATTTTATGTGGTAGTGTTACAATGACGGTGATTTCTCAAAATCTGTCTTTTTAATCTATTTGAAAGTGCGCATGCTTAGTTGCAAGTGTCTGGTGCTCCTAATTTCAAGGAATTTGTATCTGGAACAACAATTGTGCTTGTGACAGTCTTTAAACGAAAATATATAGGCCTATTTGAAATGGTACAGTATTTTTCTTTTTATCAGGACTTTCCTTAGCTAAAACTTTTTACACTCATTTAACATTTACAACTTCCTTCTTAAATTAGTATGCTGTTACTCATACTCGTGACAATTTTAAATGATATTGTGCAAAAGGCAAGTCTGGTAAGTGAGTAATTTGATATATACAGGATTACATTAGTTTGTAGGCTTGAGACCCCAATTTGACCCTGTGTAGCAACCAAATTAGACTGAGGGTTCGAAGAATCCATCAAAATACCTAAGCGCACACCATTTTATCCCAGTACATCACTCAAAACTGTATTTCGGCTATACATAAAAAATGACAGTAAATTACAAACCTCATTGTATGTCATCCATTTAAAAGGTGTATCTGGTGTTGGCTTCCACCCAAGGAATGGCTTATCGCCTGGTGATTGGAAATTTCAAACACATATGAAGTAAAAATTACCACCAAAAAAAAAAAGTTGAAAAGAGATAACATACGTGTACACATGTTCATATTACTCAAAACTACTACCTATACAACAGTGGTGTGTTAAAAGCCTCAAAAGACAATAATGGAAACTTGCACTGACAGGTTCTTTAAAACATTTCACTTAAACAGCTATAAAAAGTAATTATGGTATTCATGTTATATAATATAAAGTAAGATGAAAGCACTAACAACCACATTTCATCATCCATCCAGCTAACGAATTTTAGAGGTTGAGCATGCTCAGTCCCTCTGTTATTGTTAATTGTTAATGCACTGACCTGAACATTACTCTTACCGTTTCATGAATTTCATGCTCAGACTGAAAACCACAAGCACCCTGCAGCTAAATTTATCATGATCATAAGCAAAAGTGTCACAGAAATCAGTTGACAGCGCAGACAGCGAAAGTATTACCTGATAGCACAAGATAATGGGTGCTTACCTGCCAGTTGAACACCTCTCTGGAAGCAGTCATGGACAGTATTAACGCCCTCAAAGTAGTGTGTGAGCAGTTTGTTGTCCTCACACAATCTGGAAATACGTGCTCCATCTATGGACTGAAAAAGCAAACGCAAATATATCAATATTTCATAAAAACGTAAGCCACATAATCCATTCAGTTTACAAACACACTACCAAAAGACACAAAGTCCAAACCAAAACCAGGTGAACAGATGTTCATAAAAGGATAAAAAGAGCATTGAAAATCAGGGAGAATTAAGTTTAGGAACACAGAGAAAAAGATATATTATAGAGATTCGAGAAATATAGAGAGTCTTAATCAGATCTAGATCTACTATAGAACCTAGATCTAGTCTAGTAAAAAAAAAAGAAAAAAGCATTGGAACTGGAAACCTCATCAAGAAGGCAAAAAAGAAATCGGGACATGTAAAATGTGAAAACTTCGGCAAACCCCTTGCCTTCACGTGAACATAGAGAACAGAACAATTCAACGAATTGTAAAGGTCAAAAGATTTCTAGAATCTTACATTTTTACTTTATCCGTCGTCTTGTACCTCATCTAGGGCGTCGGTATGGGATTCCAAATTATTAATATTAGGCCTATTTAAATAGATTTTTCTAAGGTACGACGCACAACTTCCTTTTGGCAAAATAAGCAGAAAACTTCGTTTGCAAGAATAGACATCTAATATCATGATTGGCCGCGAGTCATAGCAAAAGGATGATTTGCATTTGTATACAAATGAATGCGTGTGTGCGTGCGTGCGTGTGTGCGTGCGTGTGCGAGTGTGTGTGCGTGCGTGTGCGAGTGTGTGTGTATGTGTGTGTGTATACGTGTATGTGTGTGTGTATATGTGTTTGTGTGTGTGTATGCGTGTGTGTGTGCGTGTGAACATGTGCATTTTCTAGCAAACCCCATGGCAGAAAACAAACAAACAAAAACTGATGACCTCACAAAAACATCCAAGAGTCGTGTGAAAAACGGGGCGGTGCTTTTGCATGACGCAAATATCTTTTCAAAGACCTAATTTAATCACCATCCCTGATTATTTGTTACACATAGTCTGAACACCCTTTGTTACATTTTTATGTCTTTGGCTAGGTTTCCTCTTTAATAGCTTTATTTGTCTGTAGAAACTTCATTCACACGACAGAGAAGGTGTTACGCGACAACGTCATTCCCATTAGTATGCTGGCGTAGTTCACTGGGTTAAAAAAAACACGGAAATAGATGTATACAGCAAAGTATAGCACTCACACAGGGAGTTGCCATACGCGTTCGCAGGTTGCTAAGGTGCCAGATGGCCTAATTACAGAGCATTATGTTCTCTACAAAGCACTTGGGACGACATCATCATTGACCGAGCAAGAGCGAGCGGAGACGTAAGGAAAAGACAGCCTGCTTCTATTAGAAGGGAAAACAACAAAAAGTAGATTGCCCGTGATCGGCAGCTCCGTTGACGTTCTGCTTGGTAGGCAACTGGAAATCAATACTGGTTACGAGCCCATTTCATCCCAAGATGGAATCCACAAAAACAGAAGGACTTACTAAAAGTACTAATTGGAGGTGGGATTTGTATACGGACCTAAAACAGATGCGATACACCTGAGCAGAGGTGGAGACTTTAGCCCAGGACATAAGCAGATGGAGAGCCCTTGGTCGCGGCCTATACTACAACAACAACAACAACAACAACAACAACAACAACAACAACAACTACTACTACTACTACTTTTAACACGACTACCACTACCACTACCATTACGGCACGGGGTGAGAAAGGATACTGAACATTTCATCAGTCAGAAACAGCTTCAGGTTGACAACCCCCCCCTCCCTCT